TGAGTTTTGAGTGTCGTATGGTGAATCACTCACAATATTATGACACATGTGCTAAGGATGGACTGTGAAGAATGAAGAAGAGTGAAATATGGGATCTTTAAACTGGGGAATCTACCTTTCAAACCGTGGAAACAGAAGAGTGAAAAAGAGAGGACATCCCTCACTCAGCCAAGTCTTTCTGATTTCCTCACAAACTTGTTTACTTTCATTTTCATTTTACTTCTACTGTTGGGACAAAGACAACATATTATTTATGAAACGAAAAGTTAGGTACCCTAGTTATAACTGGAGGAGCAAAAGCATACTGCTAGATATGTATTAGAATACTTCTGTAAGGGATAATGTATAATACGCAGGTCAGCATCGGAAAATAAGTACCGACAGGGCGAAACGGAACATAGTCCAGAAAAACATTGCAGCTGGACTCCAAATAAGCCGCTATAATGGTATAATACATATACCATTATAGTGCACAGTCTCCTTGAATCCTTTGGGAAGCTCCCTGTGAAAGAGGTTGGCCAGCTAATGGCAGCTCCTGAGCCACAAGTTGAAATCCATTTTGTAAATACGATCATGTGGACACTGAAAGATAAGTTCTAATTCGTACACATTGCCTCACACACAATAAAAGCTTGGTATCTGATTACCACAGTATCGATACCAGCCTTGAAAACCCTCCTCCACTGTCTCCCTCTCTCCCCATCACTTCTTGCATCATGTTTTTTCCCCCTGTTTGGTTCAGAAGATTAAAGCTAGGGCTAATTGACAAGAAAACGCGTCCAGGAAACACAACACAGACAGATCAAACTGAAGGGGGAAGTGTTTACGCGGCTTACATCAGCTCATCCCAGGATATGGACTTACATGCAAAACTTAAACTAAACGTCTGTGGCTGACAACGCGCCGTATTGATACCTCACCGACAGTTTTGCTTCGTCCCAGGTTTACGAATAGATAAGCCTGTATAATCTGTAATTAAAATGGGGGCATTAGGAGCCAATTAAAATACATATAGTGTGCGATGGAGAAAAGGCAACGAGAGAAATCAATAGGCAGGGTAATTCAGCAGGGAAAGAGGAGCTTCCTGTCTGATGGAGAGCCTTTTATAAGACGCCGTTAAGGAAGGGAAGAGTTCTCCAGTGATTTTTTTGACAATTTAACAGGTTCGCCTGACACATTAAATGACTATGCTGACAACTTAACTGCTCTGCCAATCAATATCTCCTATTACTCTCATTGTCAAGAGGGAAAATAAAAATATGATGTTGAGGTCGACCTGTAAGTGACAATGCGTAAAGGGCCCATCAGCTTTGCGTATTCATGCAGACAGGCAACGGCCACTTCACTCAAACTCTATAGAATATCATGAATGAGTTTGGTTTGTAAACATGGTGCCCAGAGTCAGCACTAAACATGGGAGATGTATGACCAAACATGGGGAGACGTTTGCACTATCCATCAATCAATCAATCATAAAATAAAACAGGTACAGTAAATGCATGAATAGAAAGGGCTGGGTGGAGATGTAACCAGCTGAAGAAGCGTCATCCAAGGAGCCGTCTGCACCAAAAGCAAAGAGCCAAGTGCAGCCACAGGGGACGACGCAGGACCCAGAGGAGAGAGGAGGCTCCAGAAATCCACCAGGTCCAGGAGTCAAACCCCCACAGCCACAGCCGACCACTGCTCCCAGTGCAGAGGGCTCCTCCGGGGAAACACTGGGGACACTAAAACAATGCAATAAAAAGTAAAAATTTGAAATGTGAGGCTAAAAAGGACTAAAATAAATAATACTAATAATCAGACTAAATCCTACAATAAAATAAGATTGTCTAAATGACAAATCAAATATATAAAATGGAATAATGAAAATAAATACTAATCAAAAGCTAATCTAAAAAGGTGTGTCTTGAGCCTGCTTTAAAAAATGTGAATGTTCTCTGCTCTAATAATTAACACATAAAATCATATATTAACAAAACATACTTTCTGGACTATAAGGCGCACCTGTACATAAGCCGCATTTGAAAAGAAAATCTATTTTGTCCACATATTGGCCGCACCAGAATATCACACATTATGACGAGGTATTTACTTACTTTGGGTGGAATTTTGTATTGAAAATTGTTTTTGAATTGTGCTTTACAAATTAATCTTGATTGGATAAATATATTGGCATGTCCTCAACATCTCTTTAGCTTCTTCTAGTTCCACCAACCATATGTGTCTGTGTGGTTTGGAAACATCACAGACAAAGAAAGGAGAACTCTAAACAAGGTGCTCCGCTCTGCAAAGAGGACCGTGGGCTGTGAGCTTCCTGTTCTGGAGGTTCTTTATAAATCCAGACTTTTAAATCGAGCTCTTAGAATGATCAATGACTCTTCTGGCCACCCTGGGAAAGCCTTGTTCCAGCTTCTTCCTTCTGGCAGAAAATATCGTTCTCTGAGATGCAGGACAACTCGATATGCTAACAGCTTCCTCCCACAAGCTGTCATCAGTTTGAACAGAGCACTTTAATGATCTTGCACTTTGTATTGAAATTGTTTTTGCCGATTGTTTTCACAGTGACAATTGTTTTACTGTTTTATTAGTTTGTTTTTTTCTGTCCTTTTAATGTTGTTTTATGCCTGTACTTGTGCACACTGGGGACTTTTGCTAATGAATTCCAATGTGGTTTTACTGAAAATGGCAAATAAATGAATCTGAATCTTATATGACAAAGAAGTCCTTCTAGTGCAGAGAATTACACAGATAGGTTGCTGACATTTGCCATATTTCAGACGTACAATCTCCTTGGGTCAATAGTTTTTCCTCTATTACAAGATGTAACAAGATGTGAGCCTATTATGGTCAACATGAATCAGAGAAAATGGATAGTGGCGGAATATTTTCTAGAAAAAGCCATTTGTGGATTGAGTTAATTCGATAATGTGCATATTTACAACACTCCCATAAGTGTTGAATTGGAGTTGGCAGTGTATTTTCCTGTTCAAAGCCCTGTGAAAGTGTCTTGCATCCAGTAAACAATGTTATACGCAACAACCCAAATAAGCCGCTTAACCACGCCCTCCGCATTCCGCATCAATGTGAGGAGGAGAAGACAATTAACCAGTGGTTTAAGCTGTCAATCAGATCCTGTCAACCTATCAGCTGAGTGCACCGGGGCCCGCCTCCTACTTAGCTCCTGTGTGATATGCTTCTGGCAGTTTGGACGGCCTGAGTGACGGCGGGCCAGATCCAGGCCGGGGGAGGCGCCCGGCTGGACGGCTGGGACGCGGGAAACGGAGATTGGGGCGGACGTGTGCGGCTGCAGTCGATGAGCCTAAAGGAGAGATGGAGTGCCAGGAATGTGGACTTTAATTAGTTGTGCAAAACAGCAGAGAAAGAGAGACGGGAATGAGGCAAAAGACAGCGCAATAAAGCAAATGAAGAAGGCTCCTGCGTCGCGAGAAGTGGCCCTCGACAGGAGAGAGAACCTCCTCAGACCCTCCTGCGGTGATGACTCGGGACATTTAAGGACATTTATGGGCGTTTATGAACATATATGGACATTAGTCATCCGGCTCCATCTCCGTGGACCAATGGTTCCTATGTGTTTATTGTTGTATTTCCTCTGATATGTTGTTTTTTAATCAGTAACACAAAACAAAGTCACGATCATTCTCGCTTCTCAGCAAGAAAATACTGGGTTGGAATCCCAGTTGAAGCGGGGCCTTTCTGAGTGGATGTATGTTCTCCCAGTGTAGGTTTCTTCCAGGTGCTCCGGTTTCTCCTACCACTAAAAACATGTACAATAGGTCTGGCATGTGCCTCCTGTACTGGGGACCCCGCTGTGTGGAGTGAGAGACAAAATGTAAAGCGCTTTATGACTCTAGTCTGTGAAATGCACTTACTTACTTACAGAATTGAATTGAATAGTCGGATTGGTGCAGGTCGTTGGGTTCATAAAACAACTCTATGTGACCTAAATGTAAGAAATATAAGGGATGGGACCAGATCATCTTTAACTGTTTGTTGTAATCTTGTTTCTGCCTATAACAAAACATGATGAAGTTTTTTTGCAAATAAACTCTTCGTATGCAATTTCCAAGGCAAATGTGTCACCTAATACAAGTTGAATGAGGTTTTCCTAGCTTCAATATTATCTATTATAATTGTGTCATTGACATTAAATCATAGTAATAAGGCAGTGTATTGCAATATAGCACACCTAACCATATGTCACCTTTAAAGCCTAGAGAGTTGTAGAGAGAGGTGTAGGGTCAGGGTGTGATTGGGCCTGTGTCTTCTGCGTGTGTCTGTGTGTGTGTGTGTATTTGTGTTATGAATGCATGAGAGGGGTTGAAGCCCAATCAGTGTCTGCTTCGTCCGACCCCTTTTACAAACTGAGTGGTGGGTTCAATAACATGCACTGTCCCAACCCAATAAACAATAACAAAATAAATATAATAAAATATTGCTGTTTAGGTTTAAAAATAACCATCCAAACCCTCATTACAGACGATCTCACAGATTACACACAGGTTCTCATTCTCTCCCAAAGCACTTTGTGTAGCTAGTATACATTGATACTACACAGCACAAATTCAAATGCCCAATAAATGAAGCACTTTTCACCGGGCATTCATCAGTTTCTATGCATCAAGACAATTAAAGGCACTAATTCATCGGGAGAGGTGTGTCTGCACGGAGACTCGCGTAGGCAGAGTTATGGCCGAAGCCCTTTTCCGATGCGTACAGCCCATTACTTTCCTGGCTGCGTCCGGGCCTTTGGATTCCATACCGTTCTGTTAACCATCAGCAATTATCTCCCTGTCAGAGCTAAAGGTAACAAATTTCCCCCCATCCAGCCAGCCGCTATCATCCTCTGGACACCGGCATCAACTGACAGCAGCTAAATCACGGACGCCAGCCTGCACTCCTGACAGACAAATGCACTACCTTGGAAAAGCTGGGCCCATCACTCTGAAAGGGGAGGAGCAGAGGGGGGAGGGGGGAGGGAGATGCTGACCTTATACTTCTTCTACTCTCCTCGCGCGCACGCCCCTCCCGTCCGGGCCGGAGGAGATGGACTGCCCTGCATTCTGTAAGCACAGGGCCTCGTTCCCAAATAAGAGAATTATTAATGGCGCTTTCTCGGGCGCTGGTTTATCTTGTAGCATCGCGGCAGCTCCTGGTTTTGCTGCTTTACGGATGGACACGGCGAGCTGCGGTGATGGCTTATCCGACCACGGTTTCCGGCAAACGCAGCAGCAGCAAGACCCGGCGGTAAACAACGGATTTGGACAGTGCAGGGTCGGGCAAGAGATTTGAGTTATGGCAATACTTAGGATATGGTGAGACGTGTATATAACTTAAGTATGAGAGGAAATGTATCTTTTCTCCCAGTTCTTTTGATAGCAACAGTGAAATGTACCAGTAGCAAACACAAATACAACCATGTAATTAGAATTTGGAGGAAAATAAACACACCTGACTTTTGCTCTGTATATTTTTGTGGCCACCAAAAGCCTCCTCCTGAGATTTCTGAATTGTCTGCCATTTAAAACATACCATCTAGATTTAAAGGGTGATTTTGAGGTCCACATGTTCTGTTAGTTAGTATGTTCTCTTTACGTGCATTTCACAGACCAAAGCACTCAAAGCACATAACAATGTTTTGGATTTGAGATATGTTTTCATTCACTCCATACACGAGACGCCAAACACGCATCAAAGCCTCAGAAAACCATCCTTCTTCACTCACTCAATAACATTCAGACCTATTGCACATGATTTCAGTGTTAGGGAAACCTGGAGGAAACCTACGCAGACACATGAAGAACATGCAAACTTTGCACAGAAAAGCCCTGTCTGGAGTTGGAAACAAACCCAGGACCTTCTTGCTGTGAAGCATAAGCGTTAGCCACAAGCGCTAACCACTGCGCCGCCAATGCAATATCCATGCACACGTTTACTCACGCCCAATTGAATAAACAAATATTGCATCATGTTATAGCTATTTTTATCTCTACAGAATAAATAATATGCATTATTTTTTCAATTTTTTTTATATATGTGGAATATGAAATAATATCTTAACTACTGTATAAAGCATATGTATTACTTGCATCAAGGAAGCGTAAAATGTAGTAAAAAGCTCAAAAAAGTAACTCTTGCCGAATATATACAAACATTTAGGCCCCCCTGAGCTATATTCATCACAGAGCGTTCCTTGAGAGAGATTCTGAGGGGGATATTACTGTGGAGGAAGCTGAGATAAGACAGTAGAGCAACATATGTGTCAACAATATGAAAAACTCCACTTCTGTTTTTGGGCCAAGATTATGTCAAACATAGAAAAAGACAGCAACGAAGTCTATGGATTTGAAACACGGCCCTTATCCTGCTATAGTTTCACAGCCTCAGCCGCCGCAGCTCCGCAGGTCGGCGGCGTGCTGCATGTAAAGGCGTCAGGAGCAGTGGGCTGTGATGGATGGCCGTGGCTGCAGCAGACAGGCCCACATCAGCCAGTGTCCTGTGAAGATTAGTGTGATTAATGCTGCGCTCTGACAGGTGCGGCGGAGGCGACACACACACGGGCCTATTGCAAATGACACGACCTTTTTTGGGAGTCAAACATATTCACTGTTAAAGTCACTGGGATGTCACCGCTGCTCAACGCCTCTCCCGGTGACGCCGCCGGTATGCTGCAGAAAAACTCCTATCTGGGATCAAGTCTGACGGAATTACATGCATTGGTGTGTGTTTGAGTGATTTACATGTGTTTTTTATTATCCACAAACGTTAGTGTATCGATAAATAGATAGATAGACACTTTATTGATCTACTGTAGGAGAAATTCAGGTTTCCAACAGCAGAAAACACATCCATAAAGTACTTTTTTTAACTAACTAACATTTCTAGCTATACCTAACAATAGTCAAAATAGCAATACTAATATAATACTGTATAATACTCTTACAGGTCTGTTGTACAGTCTGACAGCCAAAGGAACAAAGGATCGGACTAGTTAGAATATTGTTGGAAAAATTGTACCTGGAACTAAAATATGGTATGGATTTCCTTGTTGACCATTTGTAAATTGCACAAATAACGAGATCATCCTTGTGATAGTATTTTACCAAAGTAGCAGAATGGGTACCTAAGCTGCTGAATCCCTGAGCTGTTTCCGTACATTTCATTTATTTACACTATTTCTGGTTCTCTGGTTCTAGTTCTCTATCTCTGATCAACTTTCAGGGTTCTATTTCTCTGTTTCTCATCTGTTTAAAAAAAAAAAGCGAAATGGTTCATACCAAATCAACATTCATCACATTGAGGAGACTGACCGTAGCAATAGCATTAGCACTAGCATTAGCATTAGCATTAGCATAGTGACACAGGTAGGTTTGAGCGGCTGACACATGGTATCTGGGCTGAGTGGAGGGAGCTGTCCTGACACTGACCTGTCACACCATATCGGATGTGTTTAACGATAAGCTGTCGGCCACCATCACACACACATACACGCGCACGCACACACACACACATACACGCACACAGACACACACACACAGACACGCGCGCACACACACACACACACGGACACACAACCAGGACACGAGACCAGGATGGAGAGCCAGGCACCTAATGACATTTCACACTCACAGGCTCAAAGGTTAGAGGAGGGGAGAGCAGGCTACGCAAATATCTGCTGTTTTAACACAAAGAGATACAAACTACATCATTGGGGTCGTTACAAGAGATCAGGAGCCTTTTTTAGACAGTACTGACACCAATACCAGACTTATTATTGTCGTAAAAAAACAAAAGTACATTCTATTTATCACTTTGTTCAATCACTATATATATACTATATAATATAATGTAAATGTCATAATATACAGTACATAAACTGACCATACATCTACAAAAAACCTTATATACGGATAAAAATGTGGACCTTCTTTATATTCCTCAAGTTATGACTTATTGCAGATCCCTCTCTGTAGCTCCCTACGTTATGTCACTTAGTCCATAGTTAAAGAGTGACCCATCTGTTCTCTGCAAATGGAAATTGTGAATCCTGAAGTTGTAATCTGGGCACCAACAGTCATATAGATTTAGCAACGTCTTTGAATATTCAGATTGTCTCTCTCTATTATTAAGACTGATTCTCTTTCCTATTATTGAGCAAAATCAAACATTTACTGCTCCTTGCTGATGCATTTTCATTATTGTGTTGATTCAGCACTATAATACTTCTTCCCAGTCTGGTCAATATTTTTTCCTTTGCATTTCTCTTGTAAGCAGTCCGTCTAAACAGGCCTATCTGTGTTGATATGGACGGACCCTGTGTCGTCTCTCACAGACTGACATGTGTTTATCACAGATCTCTGAGATCAAAGCGCTCTCCGGCCGCACATCACTGTGATGTAGTGCAGTATTGTTGGCAGGGCGGTCGACATGATTCCAAAGCTCTTACATGTAGAATTGTATCGGCTCAAAATAATAAATCCTTGTCATCTATTCATTACTTTAAACAGATGCCAAACTATAATCCAATTGAGATCCAGTTTATTGAAATAGTTGTATGTATTTCACTTCTGAGTGTCTACATCTGTCAGTAAAGCATGACTTGGATTATTTTGTTTATTCATAATTAGATCAGAAGACAACAAGATGTTTCATTGACAGTCCAGACTTTACTATATATGAATAGATTAAATGACAAGTGAATATTGTGAGATCTCTGGGGGCTCCTGGTTGAATAAAGGTCAATCCATGTTGCAAACTAAATGGATAATGGCAGTGTTAATGGCACACTTCTTCCAGTCTCTATCGACACTATTATTCATCTAAAACGAGTGGACTGTGTAAATCCCAGCGGGCGAGCGGGCGACAGTTGAGCTTCTTAAACAGCCCAGCAGGGTGTGATGTCGCTGACCACAGGGACGCAGCACTATTGTAGAACAAAGCGGGCGGTGCAGCGTTTGACCGTAATTGGAGGGCTGTGCACACACTCACACCGGCCCCAGGCAGGATCAATATTTGTTGGGATTGCACCTTGTTCCAACAATGTAAGATTTACAGCCGGCGTGAGGGATTTACACTTTGTCTTCCGAGCAACTCATCAGTGCAACCCAATTACTAAGCCCAGACAGACAGCATTAACATGGGCCCGGCTGCTTTATGGCCCCTCAGCCTGTCTCATTCCAGCCTCTTCAGGCGCTGCCACCATAACGGATACTACACTTAAAACGTGCTCAGGCCGATGAATCCTCCGTCTTTCATTACTCCCACCTTGATTTACTCCATATCATTTCACAGCCACAGACAAAGATAACAGGTAGTAAATTACAGCCATCCTGTGTGCTTGTTTCAGCAGTGTATGGGGGAGGGCAGGGGAGGGAGAGAGAGGGGGGGTTCAGGTGCAGCTGCCCTAACAGAGATGCATCTTTGACAACCAATGAAGTGTGCTGGTAAAATGTACATTTAAACTTTAAATGCCGTTTATATCGCTCTTAACACCAGCACATTAGACACTTGTTTTTATAGAGAGCATTTATCCACCGCCGCAGCCTGAGAGTAAGAGGCTCTAATCTTATTCCACTACACAAAGAAAATGTCTGATTATCATTAGTAATGTGTGCGACGCCGCTGGGCCGGTTTTAACGTGCGAACAATAAACCATAATCATTTCAAACATTAACTTTATGATAGTGAGTATCTATTCACAGTCTCGTTTTTCTGCTAAATGCAATGTTTTGAGAGCTTTATTCCCAATTTCAATGAAAGATAGTCAAAAGAAATACTATCACTGAAGTCTATGAAATGGATTATGTGAGGCAGCGGCTCCAGAAGAAGGTCCTGGGTTCGAATCCCGGTTGGAACGGGACCTTTCTAGGTGGATGTCTGTTCTCCCTGTGTCTGTGTAGGTTTCCTCCGGGTGCTCCGGTTTCCCCTACCACTAAAATAATAATAAGTAAGCAGTCTATAATCTCCATCTTTATCAAAATGAAGAAGAGTTAAGTACAAAATCTCAGACTTTAGGATGATAAAGAAGTTAAAAGATATCTACCTTTGGCATCAAGAATATGCCCTGTCTAAACTTCATATCAACAACCACTGACAAATCACCATTTCAGGCATGTCAGTCAGACATTTTCAGTCTTCCTGAAAATATGAGGCAGGCGCTGACTCCAGATTAAAAACAGTTCTGTTTAGCTGTGTAAACAACAGAAGGATATTATTTTTTTAGTCTTTTCAAAGCACTGGGGCTATTTATGATTTCAATCCCATGTGATTTTAATGTTTTTAATGACTTGTGT